ATAGGCAGCGCCGTAGAAGCCCTTGACGCCGCGCCGCCCCACATGCCCACGTGGGAGCAGCTGCAAGCTCGGGTCTCACGTCCTCTAGTCCGTCCTATGTGGGTGGTGCGGCCCACGCCCCCTCTGCCCGACGAGGAGGAGGAAGAGGAAGAGGAAGACGAAGAGAGTGGCAGCGACGGGGAGAGTCGGACTGCCGCGCGGGAGCCTCCGCCGCCCACCATGAACCGCTCGGTGATGCTGCCCGTCTTTCACCATCTGTCAGTCCAGGACCTCAAAGTTGTGATGCAGGTCTGCCGAGCTTGGGCGCAGTGGGCCATCCACCCGGCGTTGTGGAAAGCCATCAGTTTGTCGCACAAGAGGATTCACGCCACGCACCTGGAGGGCGTCGTCCGGCGCCAGCCTCGATCCCTGGACCTGAGCTGGGCCAAGATTTCGGCGGAGCAGTTCTCTTGGCTGCTCGCTCGCCTTCCTCAGCTTCGTGAGCTCCACCTGGAAGGCCAGAATTGGCAAGTCATATCATGTCTTACTTCTCCATACTGCCCAGCATTGTCTGTGCTCAATCTTTCCTACTGCGAAGGCTTGACTGACAATTCGTTGACTGTATTGCTGTCTGCGCCACGCTCTCACCGGCCAGGACATCGCGATACGTCAACAAGACTGCGCCAGTTGACTGACTTCAGGCTGGCAGGGACTCAGGTTGGAGACGAAGGGGTTCGTGCTATCGTGCGCTCTCTGCCGTTTCTGACTGCATTGGATCTCAGCAGCTGCCAGCGCATAACAGAATTAACGGCGGCCCTCCTGGCTCAACCTTCCAGCGTAGTGAGCCACTCGCTCTCTTCATTGGACCTGAGGGGATGTCACCGTCTGGCCCCCACCTGTCTGCCCTCGCTGAAATGTCTGCCCCTCCTCGCAAGGCTTGCCCTCCACCCGTGCTCGCGCATTCCACTCCCTGCGTTGAGTGTCTGGGGTAAGTCACACGGGTATGCCCTCACGAATCAGGATGTGTTGGTGCGGAAGCCACCCCCTCCCCCCGACCCCACGGCAGACCCCTCCTCGGACTCCGACTTGTCGTCTCTGTCCCGCTGTTCCTCGCCAGGGGCCGCGCAGGCAGTGCAGAAGGGAGAGGACCTGCGGGTAGACGAAGAAAAGAGTAAAGGGCCTGAGGAAAGTCAGGCTTTGGGAGACAAAGCCAAGGATCAGAAAAGCAGTATTAAGACCGAGGCACCTCCGGCAGAGAAAACGGCGAAAGTTCAAACAGAGAAGGAGCAGGTTGCGTGTCATAAGGTGTTAACCGAAGTAAAGGCTGAAAACTCTGAAAAGAAACCTGATAGCATCAGTACAAAGCAAAACCACAGGGACAAAACAGAAAGCGCAAGCAACCTCGAGAAAAAGCCAGATGAATCGGGGCCAAGCAAGAGTGAGCCCGTGACGCAGAAGTCGGGACCAGAAAGTTCGCCGAGCAGCAGCTTGCGAGTGTCAACTAGGAGACAGAGTCGCCTGCAGGAGGGAGAAGGCGAAAGTGGAACCAGATCATCAAATACAGAACACACTGCCAAGAAGAATTCCAGTCCAGAACTCAAGGAGAGGAAGGCCTCCAGCAATCCAGACCAAACATTGAAAAAGCCTGCGAGTTCTGCAGATCTAGCTAAGGGGATTAGCAGCTCAGAAGAAGGAAATCTCACCGAGTTAGACCAAAAAGTTAAGAAACCTTCGGAGCAAACCACCGAAAAGGCGACAAATCCTGAACAGGCGGTTAAGAATCAGTCTTCTCTTTCGCGGGAAAACAAAGAGAGAAACAAGAGTCCATCTTGCGAAAAGAAAAGCAAAGGTAATGATATTTACCTTTCGCAGCAAGGGAAAGATAAGACAGCGGAACAGGTCTCAAAGAAATGCTCTAGTTCCGATGCCAATACTAAGAAGCAAAATACGACTTCAAATCAAGCTGGAGAGAAAAAATCCGGAAATACAAATTCAGGCGAAAAGGACAATGAAGAGAAATCTGCATCTGAACAAAGTCCATCTAAGGGCCAGTCTGTTTCATCGGCAGAGCAAAATAAAAGAAAAAATGCTACAGATACTGCTGAGGAGACACCCCAAAAACAGGGAAATACAGCCGAAGACGGCTCAAAGCCTGCACCAAAGTCGGAACAAGAAAGTAAAGCCAAAGCCGCCCCCTCCGAGAATACAGAGAAGAACAATGCTGATTCAGCGGACACCGCGAAAAAAGCAGGCCCGCCACCGACTGAAAGTAAGAAGAACAGTCCATCTGCCACTGAGGAAGTTGACAAGAAGACTGCCAACGTCTCTGTTGGCGTTTCTTCAAGTGAAGAAAAAGATAAAAAATCAGGAGTTCCCGTAGGCGGCGAGAGCAAGAAAGGTGGCTCCCCGGCAGCCTCGACCGCGAAAAAGAAAACGCCAACCTCTCCAGAGCAAGTAAGCAAAAGGAAGTGTGTAGAAAAGAAAAGTTGTACAAGCTCGAGCCCAAGCAGCAGTGCGGCAAAGAGTGCAGACCAGCAGAAAAATCAAAAGAACATCATCATTACATCAGTTGAGGTCCATCGGGCAGACACGTACGAAGGGAAAGGAGAAGCCGAGTCTGGGGTTAGGCGACCAGAGAGGAGACAGAGTGTAAGGAGGTCAAAGGATGAACAAGAAGGAAAGTCGGAAGAAAAGCGAGATAAGAATGAAAAAGTGGGCACAGAATCCCCGAAAGATAAAAGGCGAGATTCAAAAAGTCGCGAAGAAGAAATGAATAAAATCACAGTAGAGGATTCTTCCGAAAAAGAAATGAAGTCACCTGCCCCGAGGAAAATTGATGAGAAGAGGCCAAGTTCCGCCAGCAAGAGGTCTGGAGACAAGCACCTTGGCCAAGAGGCGTCTGGGAAATTGAAGCAAGAAAAGGACATCGTCACGCGGTCAACGAAAAGGTTAAAGTGTGAAAAGGGAACCGAAGAGAAGCAGGGCGACCTCCCTAAAGATGAAGAGCAAACTAAATCCAACGAGTCGGTCGCGGATACACGAAAAACTTCCAGAAGAAGTAGAGAGAGCAGGGAGGATAAAGAGGAAGTCCCGGCTGAAGAGGTAGAAAGGCGGGAAATCAAGTCCCCCAGGCCAATAGCCGTGAGAAGAGAAAGGGATTCTCTCTCAGGCAAAACAGCCGAGAAGAAGGAAGACGATTCTAAAGTGGCCAAGAGGGTAAAAACAGAATCCGAGGAATACATGTCGAAACTACGAAGGAAATCCCACGACGGGGAAGCCTCTAGTGATTCGAGTAGCGTTTCCGAAAACACCCGGAAAGAAGACACTGCTCTCGAGAAGATCAGATCTAGGAGGAGATCCCTGAGGGACGACGACGCCGCGAAATCGAGCGCCGAGAAGAAGAAAGAGGACGCGAAAGAGGAGAAAACCAAGGCCCTCCAGAACCCATCGTCCGAGCAAGCCGAATCCCCAGCCAAAGCGAGCAAGGCCAGTTCGCACTCCAGCGAGAGTTCCGACTCGGGGTCCAAGCACAAGCGGAAGAGCGACGAAGGCGACGAAGGCCCTTCGAGCTCCAGCAAGAAGAGCAAGGACGAGGCCGAGGAAGGCAGTCGAGCGCCCAAGAAGGCCTCAGACCTCCACAGAGAAAGGTCCGGAAGCAGAGAGAGACCGGAGAGAGCTCACAGGTCACCAAGACGACTCTCCATGTGTCAGTAGTGTGTGTTTGTTTTGAAGTCTATATTTTTCGGAACGATTTCTTATATTTTCTAAAGTGATCTCATACTTTATGTCCTTTGAGAATAACATTGTAAGATATGTTAACTGATAGGGCCATAGACGAAAAAACTAGGTTTATTTTCTGTAGGCGTTCGTGTAAACTATGTAGGCCGCTCCCTCTCATGAAATATTATATTGTACATAATTGTTCAAGAATATTTAGGATACGATTTATTTCACGTTTGAACTAAATGTTGTTTGATGTTACAATGGAACATGATTATATGTAATTTACCCATTATGTATGTTAAAAAGGTGTTGTTTTATATGTATATAACTTGGTGCAATTTCGTATTAGTATCTTCAGTAATTGGCAGTAATTCGCCCCAGTTTCTGTAAGTTACAAATAAATGTACAGTAAAAAAAATAATCTTTGTATTTTGTCTTTCACCTTCAGCCAATGCGTGCTCTGTGCCATGTCTTATCATGCCTTGCAGATGCCTACTCTGTCAGCTGGGGGTAATGAAGTTCAGGATAACAACACGGCGTTCATAATGTTGGTTGTTGACGTGGCAGGTGATTTTCAGTAGTGTAGAAGTAGGCTACTTCTGCTGTGTGATCTGTTGGAGTTTGCGGGATATTCAGAGATGCAGATTATTTAACTGAAGGAAATGGATGATTCGTATCAATGCACATTAATTCGAAACGCGTAGGAAATGTTAGGAATGGATCAGTTCTCTTTATCGTGGATGCTTTGTAATTATTTTCAAATGGTTTTGAGAATAATGACAAAAAATAGTATTTTTACAACAAAACTGGTCTAATGGTTTGTATGACATTCTACAAGTTTACTTATATTAAAATATATATATTATATATGTATATACATACGACACACGCACATACATCAACTTGCACACACTCACAATACTCACAACAAAAAGTGCAAAGTTTGGAACATCTGCTGGGCTACACACGTGCACACATGCATGGACACGCATACACAAACACATACATATACACTTATGTGCACTCATATACATACAAACATGCATACACACATACACATACAAACTCTTACACATACAAGGGGAACTCATTAAATATTTCCCGACTCCCTTCCCATGGGGGTACAGGAATGAAACATACAGTTATTAAATCTTTCTCTACATAGCTCCCACCAAGAGTGAAACACTTCTCCAATCAATCATCTTGGAAACGTTTGCCCTTTAAAAATGACTTCTTGGACAGAAAGCAGTGAAAGTCAGATGGCGCACGGTCTGGAGAATAAGGAGGATGAGGAAAGAATGTCGTAGGCACGGGATAGCGCTTCCATCTGGGCAATGTGAGGGTTGTGAACAGGGGCATTGTCTTGTAGATGTTCGACATTCAGTGCATCTTGGTTTTGACAGCCTCTCGCAATTTTAATAGCAGTGAAGCATAGCAAACTCCTGTAATTGTAGTACCTTTTGCTGGGAAATCCATCATCCTTGCCCCATGCTGGTCCTAAATGAATATGAGTATAACTGCCTATCGAGTATTTTTTTTTTTCTTTTCTTTTTTCTTTTTTTTTTTGAGGGGGGGGGGAGTCAAAGTGCTTCCATTGTTTTGACTGGCCTTAGTTTCTGAATCATAGTAATGAACCCAAGATTCATCCTGCATTAGTAGTCTGTCAAAAAAATCCTGGTTTTCTTGGCACATGACTAAAAAAAAAACCTTGGAACAATGGACTCGTTTCTGCCTCTGGAAAGGTGTGAGGAGCTTGGGAACCCAACGAGCAGACAACTTTTGTATGTGCAGATGGTCATGAATGTTTATGTCCACAGACCAACACTAATCTTGGTATCTTGGGCAAGCTGACGAACACTAATTCGGCGTTCTTCCAAAATGGCAGTATCCACTTGATGGATGGTGTCCTCATCAATGACAGACTGGGATTGCCCCGGTATAGGAGCCGTTTCCACTGATATCCGACCACACCTGAACTGGCGATGCCAATGTTTAACAACGCCATATGATGGGGCATCCTCCACATAAATTGCTTTCGATTTTTCGAAGGTCTTTTGTGGTGTGCGGCCATTCAAGTATAAAAACCCGATCCTTGCGTGATACTCCACTGGTTCCATTTTCACACGTTATTGGGCCTTTGTCTCTTCAACAGAAAACATGTAATGAGTTAGGGACTGGAAACCAACACATGACGTCTAGAGATATGTATCACTGTGCATGTGAAATTTCTTAGGATAAGTGGAATTGGGTCATACAAGTACACATATACAAACAAACACATACACATACACATACAAACACAAATATAGACATACAAACACTAACGTGCATAGCACCCATACATAGAAATTGATACAAATACACACAAATGCATGCATGAAATTAATGGCAAATATATGATACACAATTACACTTCTTTCTACTTATGTCTGTATTTCACCTCTATATCTGTGATCAATGTCTCTCTGTATCTGGTTTTAGCAACCTAATTATAGCTGTATCCATGTCTCTCTATCCGAAATCTATCTATCTTATGTGTAGGTAGATGCATACAAATGCATCCCCTCTTACATATACATGGGTTCTGTAAATGTGCATACTTACTGTTGAAAAAAAATGGGTTATAAAATGAACGAAAATTTGAGAAAGACGGTGAGGTTGGGTGAGCCGGGACGTGAGAGCGACGGTAAGAGGAGTGACCGCAAATCCTGAACAGAGACAACTACCGTGAGTACAGCACTGATTTTGTGTTTGTTTAATGGACAAGTAAGATCAGACTAGGAATATGAAGTTGGCGGAAGCAGCAGTTAGAATTGAGACTCTTGAAGCCAAGGAAGACAGCCTGGTAACAGAATGTTTGAAGATATGTGAAGAAAACGTACATTTTAAAGGAAATGGTGGATAATTTCTGCGGGTACACAAACATTCAGAGAGAAATTACTGAAAAGTCTGAAAAGAAAATCAAAGAACTCAAGGAAAAGGTGGAAGAAGAAGAAACCAAGATCGGCAAATCGAAGCAAAGAATCTGCAAGAAAAAGTAATCAAAGTACAGGAAGCTGTTCAGCAGATTGAAAGCAGACAATCTAAACTAATGGAAGAGTCAGAAGTGGCTGCTACATATGCCGATATGTCTAAAGTAAAAGAAACTAACTGAAATGGAAAAAAAAATGATGTTAGAAAAAGACATCAAGATCAGAAAGGAAGAAAAAATAATTTAAACCACACATTGGCAACACGTTGATGTAAACAGGGACATAGTCATATTGGGCCATGAAAAGAAAAGTTGAAGAAGGAATCGAACGATATAACGAAGAAATTGGTTGTCAATATTCTTAAGCTCATAAATCTCGAATTCTCGGAGCAGAATATCATAGCTCATAGGAAGCTGAGGTTACTCGAAAAGGGAAAAAAACGCCCTTTGAAAGTGACATTAATGAATAAGCAGATGGTGACTGATTTAATAAAGAAAGCGAAAGTCCTGGCCACCCCCGAAGAATTTAAGAAATCTGGATAAGAAAAAGTATGACCAATGGTAACAGAAATAATGCAGAAATAATGGAAGCGGTGAAGACCACAGATAAACAAAGGACAGATGAAGAAGAAAAAAATCTTGTTCATTTGGAGGGCAACTGTCGGAACTAAAGTAAACTGTCCGAACTAAAATGTCGAGACAAACATTAGCCTTGTCACCAAAAGGAATAGCCTCCTTGCGGGCAGTTATATAATACGGTTTGCAAGTGCAGGGCTCCCCCATCCCTCTCTGGGGACTGAATTATATCTAGTTTTTAAATGTTGCATTATTCCGGGATGTCTGTACTGCCTGAAAGCTACGCCATAGTTTTTGCGATGTATTGTTACAGACTTCAGAAAATTACAGTAATTATCATGCACTGCATTTGTTACACGTTTTGTTAATTTAAAACTTTATCTATAACATAACATAAACTTCGATATGCTCACGATAATGCACCACAGTTGTTAGATAGAGTACATAAACGTGAACATATCGATGATTGTGTTATAGATTAACAAAACATTTAATATGCGCAATTGCTAGAAGCTGGACGTCCATGCCTTCGTATATGTGTATATGTAGGTCTATGTATGTAAATATACGTACATATAGGTTTAAACAATATATGCATATAAATACCCCCCCCCCCCCTCTCTCTCTCTCTCATCCATGACTTCAAATAACAGAATTAAAAGGCTATTACCTGTAATATATAAATTAAATTGTGATGCCTCTACTGATCCTCATGGAAACAGTTGAGATTGGTGTATTAACTCGTGCCAGTTATGCTTGCCCAACAGGGCATAAATAAATATATATATATATATATATATATATATATATATATATATATATATATATATATGATACATACATACATACATATATATATATATATATATATATATATATATATATATATATATATATATATATATGTATATATATATGTATATATAAGATACCGGCTCAGTAGTCATATACCATGCCATCAATAATGGAAGTGAACAGCAGCTGTCTTCTCTGACTTAATGCATTTAGCCCAGGAAACATTTGTGCAGGGTATATTTATCACTATACTGGATACCGTCTCAGCAAAACTAGCACTTTCCCAAGAAGAACCATCCTATGCACTACTATTATCTATTAACAAGTGAAAATATGCTTTCCGCTGTCTTCTAGATTATGAGGGCCAGGTATGGACCACCGAAAAACTGAAGAAAAATGAACATGGTACGATCTGGCATTGTGAAGGTATTGCGGGGACATCTGATTAGGACGATCCATATAAAGTTTATAATGAGAGAGCAGGTTACACTAACCACATTACGCATAGGATAGGCATAGGAAGAAGTTCAGATAGTCTCAGATAGCGATTTATATTTTCATTGATTACGATCACATCGTAAGTTTCTTGATATAACTTTTTATTGTAAAGGTGCATAAAATGTTGTTGTGCCTTTTTAGCAGTACATCAAATACATGTTCACTCTATATGGGTAAGATTTGAAGTCAATCACGACGGTCGCTGGAACGACATGGTAAGAATATCCAACGTGTTCGAGTCATGTGAGTTGGTATTGACTTCGGTCAGATTCATTTTGTATGTCTATGGTATAACGTTACAAACTCAAAAATATCAAAGAAAATACTGTGGTATCTAGATTTGTTGATGTACTCCATTAAATAAGTCAAGTAAATGTCCACGATCATTGGAATTACCGAGATTTGGGCACGGAAATCAGAGCGCGACACGATAAGATCGAAAACCTTATTCAATTTTCATTTTCCATATGAATAACAATGTGTATCATAAGAAGAAAATATTTTGATCGAATCTGAGAGATACATTTAAACTTTCCACAGCCTTGCGAAGCACAGAGTAGTGAAGATAAACAATATGAGCCAAGATCGAGACCTTTATATAAACTGCAGAGTTTTCAGGTACTATTTCCATTTTATTTGAAGCTTCCACAACGTTTTGCTTGTAATTAAAAATCATACCAGCAAATTAAGTACATGAGTGGTTTTCTATTGATTTTTTCATAATAATAATTTCTCCTTTTCTCAAAATTTTGCCTTTCATTACAAACTTCGATAATATCGTATTTTGTAGCGACCGTGATACAACTTGAAACAAGTGCATCAAAGTATTAGTAGTATCGGGATGCTTCAAGGAGGCCTTTAGATGGATGCTATAGCATCTTACTCTGGCTTTTTTGCAGGGCATGTACACTGTTCTGTAAAAAAAAAAATATATATCACATGAAATCTCTCTCTCTCTCTCTCTCTCTCTCTCTCTCTCTCTCTCTCTCTCTCTCTCTCTCTCTCTATATATATATATATATATATATATATATATATATATATATATATGTATATATATATATATATATATATAAATAAATAAATAAATATATATATATATATATATATATATATATATATATATATATATATATATATATATATATATATATATATATATATGCGCGCGCGTGTGTGTGTGTCTGTGTATACATGTACTTTGGGGAGATTTTAAGTTTGTTATCATTCGTCGGTGGTGAAATTTCGACATCTATCCATCCTTTAAGAATCAAATCAGCAACAGTGAATTAGATTAAGGCTAGATGAGTAAAAACACCGAGGCAGAAGAGCTGTGATGAGACAAGAAATAGGAAAAATACAATCCTGGTTATTAATAATAAAATGTATTATTTGCTCATGTTGGTTAAACTGAACTTGAGAGTATTTTATGAATATGACAACTGTAAATGAAAACTGACATTCCAATAGACGGGTTCGACAATGAAAATCGTTATTACGCGCACCAACTGCAGCGCGCGGGATGCATCGGGCGTGCCAGCCATTCCCCTCAGAAGGCCCCAGGGAATGGGTTTGCCCGGACAGTTTAATAATACTGTTTGCAGGTGCGGGTTCCCCGCGCCCTTCCCCGGGGACTGAATTGCGAGGCCCGCATCATCGTTTTAATGATACGGCCGACAGATCTCAGGCAGCGTATGAAAGGTATGAAATAGGAAGAAATAAATGTATCTAGGTATATTTAAATATATATATACATATGTATATATATATATATATATATATATATATATATATATATATATATATATATATATATATATATATATATATATATATATATATACATATATGTGTGTGTACAGTATATAAAAATACACACATTTGTTTATTTATTTCTATACTACAGTGTATACCCACACCGTGCGATGAAATCGCACTTTGCTCTGTTGGCAACAAGAGTGCTCGTGTTGTACGAAACACCTTCGGAGTTCTGGTTAAATGGCTTCCCTAGAAGTCAAACAGAATGCCTGGCAAATTATAAACTGGCAACACCACCCATTATAACCAACGAGAGCCTCTTGGGGGTTTCAGTCTGCGAGTGTTCTCCCTTGTGAGTTAGTCGAGGAAGTTTAGCATCTCGCTTTCGAAGAAGGTACGATTTGTCTTCATCGTCCATCAGAAACATGTGTATAGAATGTAATATCTGATCATATCATATTCACTTGAAGCCATCTTGATGCTGGCAGATGCGTGTGGTTGCAGCACTTCTTTGGGCGGTGACAGGGGCGGTGTGGGCACTGGAGGAGGGCAGTGTGGGCAGCCTTTACGATCAGCACTTTCCTCCACTTCATGCTAATTGTACCCAGGTAAGTTCACTGAACAAAGCTGAAAGAGACAATAGTCTGGTGGGTGTGTATACATAGAGAACATAGATATATGAATGAATTTGAACGTGTTTCCACGAGTAAAACGAAATGCCCCTTCGATGTCGCAGAGTCTCACAGATCTTCTCTTGCTGCGCCAAGAAGTCCAGCTGAAAGAACTGAAGGAAGAGGAGAAAGTGTCTTCAGGGATCTTGAGGGAGATGGCGGACATCCTGACTGACATCAGAGGCTCCTTAACGCTGACCAGCACGTCTACAGGTAAAAGTGGAACTAAGGTCTAGATTAGAACGTGCGGGTTACATAAGCCTAAAAACAACTCCTATTCCTGACAAGCAGGAATAGGAGTTTATTCATATATCTGGTGATTCAGACATTTTTAATCCTTACAGAAGCACCTTGCCTAGGCAACTTCATTAAATTTGGCGAAACTTGTTTATATCTTGCGAAAGAGACCTACGTAACTTGGGAAGCTGCTCGGGTCTATTGCCAGGGCTTGGAAGGAGACTTAGCCGTGTTCCGAGACGCCAATGCATTCGCAGATGCTCTTAATTACGCCAAAGGTTCAGGTGAGTGATTTCATAATTCACGTCAAGTGAAACGCCACTTGATTTTATTAACAGTCACTACCACTGATATTTAAAAACAGTAACAATAGGTGCTATGGTGGCTGTGAAAAGTATCATGACAATGATAGCGGTCTCCATGATAACTCACAGTTTTTATTAACTATTTTCATTCTGAACTCATGTCAGCTCTACTCAATTCGACGAGCACAACCTGTAGATTAGTGTATTTCATATAAATATAACCGAACAATTCTATGGACCGAATTCGGCTGCAACTAATGTCTAATGTGCTAACAAGTACCGAACACTCAATTCAGTATGTATGCGGCAATTTCAAAGTATGCGACAGGACGTTTTTAACAAGGAAACTTACCCGACGTGCCCCTCTCCAGGACTGCAGAACCCCGCACATATTTGGGTGGGCGGAAGCGACATCTTACTTGAGGGGGAATGGAAGTGGATCTCCGGGGAAGACATGCCAAGAGGAACGCCCTTTTGGGGAGGCTATAATTAGTAAGTCATTCTCGACTCTAAATAATAAATTCAAGAGAAAGTTGATGGCAATGATTAACAGTCATCCATCCCATACAGTTGCACAAAGCACGGCATACACGAATAAAGTCATGATGTTCTGTGCTAATACACTCGTTCACATGTACTTAAACATACAGTAAAGATACTGAAAGATTGCCCTTTTTATTTACCAGTTCATTCTGTTCACATAGTTTATTTTCAACAGCGTTCGCGAACCAGCTGGCGGTTTACGGGAGAACTGTGCCAACCTTTTTAGCGGGGATGGCTTCCTAATTCACGATGTTTCTTGTACCTCGAAGTATATTCCTCTCTGTCAGATCAAGAGCACTTAAAGATATAAGCCTTTAAGTCAAATTAGGGAAGTGTAAACCCTCTGTCAGATAAAGAGTATTAAATAAGGAAGTGTAATTGTCTCTGTCATAGCAAGTGCATTTAATCAATAAATATGTGAATCATACAGAAAATATTAATACT